ACCATAGCGGTGTTTGTCTCCATAAACTTTTTGCAACACACTAGAGAATTCTTGCCCCGCCGCGGTGGTCTAGTGGCTAAGGTACTCGGCTGCTGACCCGCAGGTCGCGGGTTCGAATCCCGGCTGCGGCGGCTGCATTTCTGATGGAGGCGGAAATGGTGTAGACCCGTGTGCTCAGATTTGGGCGCACGTTAAAGAGACCAGGTAGTCGAAATTTCCGGAGCCCTCCACTACGGCACGGCGTCTCTCATAATTATATGGTGGTTTTGGGACGTTAAACCCCACATATCAAATCAATTGGGATCCCCAGCAGACAATAAAAATGACCAGAATGCGAGCTCTTTGTAGTTTAAAATTCAATTAAAATAAATTCTGGAAATAATTCAAGTTTATAATTGTACAAGGTATGAGCGCATTCTGCCACAGTCAAAATGTGGCTGCTGCAGCCAGCATTGAACACAACCTCACAGTTGCACTAAAATGTCATAACCATAAAGCTACTACAGCAGGTCACATATTGCATGTGAATTATGGCCGAAGCATCCAAATAGGTAGATAATAAATAAGCCAATGAAATGTTAATCAGCCCGCTTGCTAGCTCTGCAATGCTGACCCAATACAATAAAATGGACCACAGATCTTCTAAAGCAAGCAAGAGCTTATCATTGAGAATTTCGCTGTAGATAAACTACTTTCAGAGATGTGCTGTACTCAAAATTACGGTGCCTACAGGTGGTGGTACTGGTCCCATGGAGTGTTGTCTTATGTCAGACTTAGCTATGACAAAGTCCCGCACCTACCAAAAATGCCATCACCCACGCATGCTTCGATCATGGGCGCTAGAGTTATCCAATTGATGATGGCAACACTGCACTGCTCTTTTTAACAATAAACTGCCATTTGCAGACGAATCAATTTTGCCCCCAAGCTCCTCAAAATTTCTCCTGCTGCACATTCGAATCCAACCTTTCAAAAAGTATTAATGCAATTGTGTCATAACCTCCATTCAAGCTGTCCTTATCATTTTCACACACATTTATAGCAGGATGTTAGTGGACAACAGCAATTACACAATGCTACCATGAACATTTGAGACCTTCCTGTCCGTGTTTTGTATACCTTCCCCATTTTTCTGCACAACTCGCAGCTTGCAAATCTTGGTATGAATGTCACTATTCTCCAAACTTCTTGTTTTATGCATTATCAACCTACCTGCCAACCTGGTGCGGTAGAAATTAGAGAGGTTCATAAAAAGAAAAAAGGGGGGGGGGGCTGATCAAGTGCAACAGAAGGAACTGGTATATGTATTGGTTTGCTGTTCCTTTTTGTACACTTCAGTGGCTGTGTTGGTACCTAGAGTTGCAGAACATGTGTATATGTGCATTTAAATGAAGGAACACAATCTGCCGTGTTCTACGGAACTCAATAGCCCCTGCAAGCTTTATGCTTTTCCGCATGACGCCAATGTACTGTGATGAAAGTGACAAGCACTCCACACACAATTGGAACACTTTGGAATCGACGTCCTTTGTTTCTTTTCGCAGACCGCACTCATGCTGTTTTTTGGGCGATTTATGTGTGTGCCCATACAGATGAGAAGCTTGCAAAAAAAAAATTTGGGAGTCTACCAAGCGAAGTGGAAAACTTGGTAGGTACACATTAAATTACGACACTGTTTCAATTTGACCCGACACCGGTGCACTGTGTAAAGTCGTTTTATGTCAGCATTGCTGTACGTATTTTTGCAAAACAATTAAACTGTTCACACTGAAAAAGTTTCTCCAAGTCAGGCTGTCATTACAGGATGGCTTCACAGACCATTCTATACGGTATGATTAAGAAGCTCTGCAACTATCTCCATAGTACAGCATGCATTAAATAGGTAAAGATGTCGTGCACATGAAGCCGGACACGCTGCGTCCTACCGTACTGGTGCTCAGACATGGTGTATACTTTAAGGTCTTAAGAAAGTGTTCCCCTTCATTTTTTGAAAGTGTAATATGCTCTTCCTCTCCCCTTCCCACCATTTGATTCACTGTTTTTATTTGACCAACAAAAACGAATAAAAACAATTAATGCATTTGTGCATTTTTTATTCTTAGCAGTTTGGCTTTCGCCATTATTAATTTTGATATGTGACAAAGCTTCCTCCTCAATTCTCGTTAGATTTCTGTTACCGTGGGGGAGGCTTGCTCGAGATTTTATGAAGGTATTCAGTGCCGTGAAGTGCTGATGGCATGTCATAAAGAGCTTGGAGCAGGACCACTACACCCGATTATAACAAGTGCAACTTTCTGACAATGCTTGCCCTGCAAAATGGCGGCTAAGATGACATCAGAAAAAGCCATGTATAACTTTTGACTTCGGCCTTGATTACAAATTTCAGTAGCATCACGCTGTGTGAATGCCAAAAGCTGAACAGCACGAGCTTTTGAGAACAAATATATGCGCACTTTTGACTTCAGTGTAGATTTCAAGTCACTGAAAACATGAAACCAAGACATGGCCAGCCTTGTTGGATGGTTTTCTATAGTAAAGGATATCCTTCACGGCTATTTTCCTGGCAAGTATGATCACCAGGGATGCACATATCTCTAGCCTACACCTATAACCAGAAGGCCAAGCCACACTTACCAGACCAAACATGTCCCACTTGTCCTGGATTAACCAAACCATACGTCAGGAGCGCAACATAAGAGCACGCCAATTTTTTTTCACGAGTTGTCATGGAGCTGTACACTTCAATGTTTACATCATATGGCAAGACTGTCAACACACAATATTGCAGAAAAGTTACAAGTACGTAGTCTCAAAGAATTCAGAGAAGAGGATGCTTCACCACAACAATGTATCTGCTCACAAAGCCCAAGGCATTGTTTTCTTACTCTTCCCCTTCCTGCAATAGCTGTACCACGACATATCGCAATCCACACGAAGCCTTTTTTCTTTCTTTTTTTAATCACCGGTATGCAGCACAGGTTGTCAATTTTCAGCCCTTTATAATGATTTTTTGGACCACAGTAAATGCTTAACCTTTTTCAATAAGAGAGGTGCTCATATAAAGCTTTCTGATAGTGAATCTGGTATTCGGAGCAATGTACTGCCCAAGTGATACAAGTTCAAAAACAATTGTCTCATTTCAATGCAACAGCTGTTTTACAGTTCAACAACCCTGTCGGGGGTTTTTGATCACAACTCGCAGGTCACACCAGGGCTGCGATCACACCTCACAGTCCAGGCTTTGAGTTACACTAAACTCACTTTTTCTGGTAAGTGGGACTGACAACTGATTGTAGATTAGTTGTGTTTAGTAAGGTTGTGTTAAGTAAGGTAAACACATAGCACACTTCTTACGATAGCATTGCAATCTTGAATTCCAACTCTGCCTATGCAGTCTTGTGTCACAAAAAGTGAACATGGTAACAATTGTAACTGGCATGAGAGAAGCCAACAAGTGTGGCTTTGGGTATAAGTTCACGAATAAAGCTCTTAAGTAGTCTTCTTTTACCAACATGATCCTCGTGAGAATCATTGTTTCACCACAGCTCAATCACTTCTACAATACCTGCGCATTTTGTTTATGTTCCGTTTAACTGAGGAAGTGTGGTAGCTTGGGCTAGTTGGTATGGCATGACAATAGTTATAGCGCGAGAACAAAACGACGACACAGAGACAAGAAGGACACGTTCGTGTCTTTCTTGTCTGTGTGTCGTCATTTTGTTCTCGCACTATAACTATCGTCATGCCGTTTAACTGCTTTTAAAGGGGTACGGACACAATGTTTCCCAGCCGGGATAGCCTACTAGCATTGATTTCGGTGAACATACGTACAGCATCTGCAAAATAATATTAGTGAATATAGTTAGGAAAGTATTTTACATGGATTTTGAAGTTTGCGTACTCGCGGTGTCGACACCCTCAAAAGTGATTCCACGTAGACCCACCCCCCTGCTTCCGTCACGTCACATCGCTACAGTTGGTACAACAGGTTATGATGATGTTATAGCCGCCATTTTTCTTATACCGCATTTGCTACAGTAGACTACTACTCGACGGTTGCTCACGAGCCCGTGGCAGCGGCGCGCGCATTGAAAGATTTGTATTGCGACACTACTGTCTTGTTTTCTGCCCAAAGAACTTCTTCATGCAGACCGTGCGAAAGTGCGTCACAGTTCAGTGTGCCGACATGATCGAGTGTTGCACTCGCAAGGAAATGATAGTTCCACCTAGCGGCTTGTCGTTTTTGGAGCTTTCTTATACCAAAACTGAGACTTGTCCGTAATGAGGAGACTGTAATTAATATGTCACACGCTGCAGCAAAAAAAACACGAGACTAAAATTTTTGTGTCAGTACTCTCATGCTCGAATGATTCCCAAGCTAACCCAAGGCGAGTTTTTCCAGAAGTAGTCTTACGACAGTTACAACACTCTTTTACAGCAAGCCCATTCGATGCCATGCTGTACCTTACAGAAAGACCACAGACCACTGGAGGTTTAAAGAGTACTCCCACACACACAAAATCAACTGTGTGGGTCGAGCAGCTAACGAGAGCGGTGAATATGGCTATTCATCTTGTTGCCATGACAGTTGCTGCTTGTGAAAATGCAGAATTCTTTCACAACTAAATATAAAAAATATTCACACATATATACCATAGTGAAAGCTTCCTTTAACCAAAAGAACAGTTAATGCAATTAAGTTATTTTGCATACACCAATTAGTGGCAGAGTTGAAAGATTGTTCCAACATAACAACAAAGTTTCAAACTAGTGTGTGGTTATGTAGGATTTCTAAACAGTACAAATTTTAGTGAAGAACGCTATAATTCACCTTTCAATTGGTACCTACCTGTTCAAGTCAATCCATATAAGTACCTTTCTTCTTCTTTCACCTTCACCATAAGTCTTGTAATGAACCTCAATCAGTTGTCAGTACCTTTAAAATCTAGGCTAGTATCAGTTTTGTTTTCGCTCAAACCAAGAACAGCAGACACCACGAAAACGTTTGAAAAATGAACATGTAATTCCAAACGTTTTTGACACCTGGGGTACACACTGCACGTACATGACTTCAACCCGGCGCTTCTTTGTACAGGAGCTTTTCTTTCTTTTTTTTTTTTCAATTCCCCAAGGTGCCTCTTGTGTTGACAGTGCCTAGCAGTTAGTTCCTCCTTACCTAGCGTAATCATCAGAGCTGCAAGAGAGGACTAGAGGTGCTCAAAGGCACAACTGTATTTGCCTTTTGTAAAAATACAGTCACTAGGACACCAACAGAATATTGAGGGTGGTGGAGATGTGGGAAGGAAGGGATAACTCTGCTGCAAACCTGGCACAGCAGGATGGGTAAAGAAGAAAGTAGTGGAGAAAAATAATAGACAGTGGATAATATGAAACTATAGCTTACAATGAAACAGTAGCACGGAATATTTAACACTTTGTACAGCCTCCCAAACTGGGAGAATCAAACAGGGCCAGGGAAGGAGGGGGTAGGGGGCCCACAATTGTGAGAAATGAGAAATGTAAAAGAGGAAACGTGAGGGGCGGGGGCGTCAAAGGAGGGCCCTGCCTCCTTATAAAACACTCAACAGCAGTGCACACTCCTTTTTTTTTTTTCTTCGTCGTTGGAGAAACTTGCTCGGCGCGTGGGTACACCACATTTTCTATGCGCACATCAACATTGAGAGGGTTGTAAAAGGAGGGCACAGTGAACATCTCGTTCGCAATGTCAGGTTGGATGCTCCAGCGAAGTCACCAAGACGATCGAAAAGAAGCATCAGCAGCAGCATGAGGGGGTGGGGAGTGGTGATGCCATCCTCACAGAAGATGGCGCTGTCGTGGCAGTGTCAGAGGGGATGATGATAGAGAGCACGCATCTAAAACTACTGCTGGGGGCATCGCAGGAATGGAGGTGGGATCAGTCCTGTTGCGCTATGTACACAGGTTTGGGAAACCGGGTTTTCACCACAGCTGCACGCAAGTGGCAGCAGCAATCGCACACACACGCACATACACATCACGCTCACGAGAGGGCAGGGCAGGCAAGCTTGTGAGGGAGCTGGGCGGGGTCACAGCAGGGAGGGGGCCTTCTTTTTGCACATCAGGCGGTCCAGTTCGGGCCCCACACCACACACAGCAGCAGTTATTTACACATCGGGGTGGTGGTCGTTGCACCTTCCCGCCAGGTACTGTGGGGAAGCCTCACTTGGGCACAAACGGGTGCAGGTTTGATGAGGCTGCCACGGCGCACGCAGCTGCCTGCTGGCTTGCTATCATGGCTGCAAACAAAGAAGCACAGCAGTGGCAGACTTTAGTCGCTGGCAGGGCTCGTGAGCGAGACAGCTTCCCTACCACGCTGAAAAAGTTTACTCATCATCATCATCATCATGCTGAAAAAGCATTGCAGGACCACTTTAAAGGGACCCTGAAATCGGTTTTGACGATCTTGTACAAACACATTGGGCGAGTAGACCAAGTCCCAATGGTGATTTACAAACTAATTCGAGCTCTCTGCGCAAACTGCATAATTTAATGCAACGGTTTAAAGCTGTGAATCGTTGCAGATCGCTGCGACTTGGCAAAATGTGTTTTCAAACACCCATTCACAGAGTGACATGCTCTGCCCACTTGACGTCACCGTGGCTGCTGATCTGACTGGCTGAGTAATTTGCGGCACAGGCCCCGTAAAGGCGGAGCTTTGCCCCGTGCGCTCGAAGGAACAGTAGAGGTAGTTTAGGGTGAAAGGCAGGGCAGAGGAGGAGAGCATCCATTTATTACTCCACTAATAAGGGGTGTTTTGATGGAATTATGGTGCCAATGATTTTCTCTAGCGGTGATCTAATAAAGAACTGAATGTAAAAAAATTTCAGAGACCCTTTATGTAACAAACCGTGGCAAAAAAATAATAATGAAAAGTTGTTCTCACAATGCTGTACTTCAGAAAAAAAATCCCCTCAGTCACCCAGTGACTAATGTTTACAAGGAAGCCAACCTATTCTGAACGGCAGCAGGCACAGGCTTGTGTAAAGTACAGTGCATTGCAATAAAACGTGCGGATAAAAAATACACAAGGGAGATCTTAGTGCAGTAAAAGTAGGTGTAATATCAAACCCTTAAGCCAGTGACTTGACTCACTATAGCAATAAGTTTCTGCATGGCTTACTGCAAAACATTACTGACTGCTTTGTTACATATACTAGGTTCATATTGTAAGTTTAACATTTTAGGAGTTGCCACAGCCATCAGAAACGTTCTCCTACAGTAATATAGTAATAATTCCTAGACCATGTGCTGGAACCACGATACAATTACGAGGTATGTAGTAGAAGCAGACTCCAGAATAAGTTCGGCCGCCTAGGGTTCCTTACATGCACATAAATTAGTGTGCATGGGTGTTCTTGCATTTCATCCCCATAGAAACATGGCAGTCATGGCCGAGAGCTGAACCCGCTACCACGACGGACAGAGGCATCTCTAATTACATTATGTTTTTGCAAACAATGCACAAGAGTTGTAGTGTGCTTTCAGCCCACAGAACCAAGAGGGGCTTATTCTTCATTACTGTACCACACTAGACAGCAGAAAAGATCCAAATTTTAAAGTGTGCACCACAGCGTCTGGCTGCTATTCCAAGCAGATGAATTCGTCACATCATATTCATCACATGTGGCAGATGACAGTTATCAGATGCTGTAGAGCTCTAAAAATTAAAAACTTATGAGTACCAAAGAAAGGCCCGTCCATGTCTTCCAGAGCAATGTGTCAATGTTTAGATAAGATCTAAAGTAGTATGACATGACTTGCAAAGATAGGTTTGCTCTCTAGAGAAGTGCTGACTGAGGATGAGGCGCCAAAGGAGAGGGTGCTTTAAATTTCCAGAGACGTCAGATGTTAAACGCCACCATTGATCGTTGCTCGAGTGCTGACCTGAAAGGTAATGAGATCACATCCCAGCCGCAGTGGTTGCATTTTCTATGGAGGCGGCAATGCTAGAGTTCCATGTACTTAAAGGGGCGCAAAGAGAAAGAATGACTTGGTTTGGATTGACAAACTTCACTCTGAGAACTCTAATATCATGTGTTCACCATCATAAGTTACTTATTAACAGAGGTAACCAAGGCTGAAGTTTCATTTTTAAATTTCGGGCTGAAACCTCCAAGCGTTACGTCAAGATTTGAATATATACATTTTTCGTATTTTCGCCACATTGGCTCAATCAAATTTTCCGAAAATTCGTATGCTATGTCTATCACATCCACAGGTGACAATGTACTTCATTTTTAAGGATTAGAGGCTATGCATGTAGGACCCAGTAGACAACTTCAAAATCTGTGAGCTCACGGCGTTTGGTGGGGGAATCTTAAGGTGGTACTTCCCCCTGCACTTTTTTTTTTCACGTGTTTTCTCGCTTACCAAGTGTCGGGTCGAGGTGAGAGTGGTGTTCTTGGGATCGTCAAATTGTACATAACTGATATGCGAAAAATCGTTTTGCTGTCTGGTGTCTCTTTATCTTGAGGTGCATGCAGGTGGTCGAAACTTCCAGAGCCCTCCACTACGGCATCTTTCATAATCGTATCGTGGTGCTGGTGTGTAAAACCATGATAATTATTATTGTTAAAACTACCCATCCACCAACTACTCTGCTTTATCAGCTCAAAAAAACTTTTCCTTTTACGAAAGCAGTGTCAGTGCCTGCTAGCACAAATGCAAATGACATAAGAAACAAGGTACAGAGCCAACAGATCTGGCACACAAAATATAAGGGCATGAAGAATGGGGGACACGCATTAGAATACATCCTTCCTTGGGCCTGTAGTTATAGGTGAGAAAACAATTACTATACTCTTGCAATCGTGTTTAAAAATGCCCCCTGACAAACATGATTTTGTGCAACCTGACGCAGTAGCGAAAGGTTGCGGCAATGTCCGAGACAGCTCACATTCCTATCATACAGATACACTTCATTTTATTTTTATTTTTTTTCTACATTACTCCAAGCTCGGAAACCGCTGCTTCTTCCCTGGAAACTGTAAGAGTTTGACTGCACTAAGCAGAGAAGGGAAGTCCTATTTACCATCACACGGTAGGGTCTCTGTGGTGGCGCCTGCTTCCATGGGCTTGGGGGCACTACAAACCAAGGGCGCCATGAGGTTAGGGGACCGAAATGGCGCGGGGCATACGACCAGATCGGTTGGCTCTGCTGCTCCCTTTCTCAGAAGCAGTACAGTAAAAGCTTGTCATTTCAGCCCTCATTGACTAAAAAAAATTACCAGATATCCAGATACAATGTGAACCTGCCATTAGATGGTGACCAATGTACGCATTGTCATTCGACATCAAAGCTAATTTTGGTGACAGAAGGCCAAGCTCGAGTCAAAAGGCACCAAATCATGGCAACAAGACACAGCCAGAGCTAAGTGAATGTAAGCTGTGGCATACACACAGATATTAATTCACACGAGAAGAACATAATGTGTTGTGTGCCTTCTTTAAATGCATATTGTAACACAGCCCCAAGCATACTGTGCAAAAAATGCAACTCAAATTGCTACAAGAACTTAAAAATGCTTGCAATGTCACTTAGAACTTTGAGAATACAATGGACCAAATTACAATGTTATAAAATGCTCATAGGAATATAAGTAATTGGTAGGTAGTGCACAGCACACTTATTTCAATTGAGTAAGTATCATGCTGCTCTTGGTTGCTACTGTGATCTTGAGAACAAAACTGCAACAACTCTGAAATTTCTTAAGCAGCTTACATTTGGTTCATTGGTGGTGCTGTAGTTAGTACAAGCTGAGGCGCACTACTGCAGTCCGCCTAGTGTTTGTAAAATGTAAGCACAAGCTTCTGCATTACATAAGCATATCGATACAAAGAAAATTTGTTAGCTACATTTGGTTTATGTCTCCGTTCTTCTTTATCTCTTCTTTTCTTTCATCCCAGAGATAGTTTCTCTTCCCATTATTCTTCCTGCCTTTCCATTCTTTTTTATCTAACTCTTGTTTGCTGCTTTTGTCTGCCCATTGAAGTGACACTTGAATCATTAAAATAAGTATATTATTGTAAAAAACACAAGTTATTGAGTTTTTTAGCTGCATATGACACCAATGCCTTCTAGCCAAAAGCTTGCATTGGCTTTTATAGACATGTGCAAATATTCGACCGAATATTACAATATTCAAATCAGCTTCACGAATTTAGATAACTCGAAATTTTGAAGCATTCAAAATGATCGTATGAGAATATTCATTAGACCGCATGTAAACCAAGTACGAGGGTTGTTTTACTGCAGCGCATGAGTGCTATAGTGTGACAACACCTATACAGAAAAAATTTGCCCCGCCATGAAGCTCGCCTTGAAGGTTAAATGAACATATTACAGTCACATCAATTGATAATTTCAAAGGTTCAAAAGCCTTTTATACAAGCTTACATGCTCTAAGCACAGTAAATTTTAAAATGCGACATATTTTACCGGTTATCCCATACATCCTACTGAAATCAAAATTTTGCCACTTTTACTTCAGCCAGAATGACACACACAAATGCCTTGTTCTAATAATAATAAAAAAATGCTGAGCAGGTTAGTTGGGTCGTGACAAACATGCTCACTTTTTTAACGATATCTAACGTATACCATTTCAACTATTCAATTTGAAATTATTCAACTAAATAACAGTTCACTTTGAACCAAAAGTTCATTATTTGCACATCACTAGTTTTTGAGTTTCACTAAAGGCAGGCTGAAACTAACTTCCACTTTCACAGAAGAACTCGTAATTGAGAGGGGTACTTTTAAGTTGATATTAGAATTTTCGCACTTTTGGCATATGTCTCTTTCCTTTTACGGCCCATGTATGGCAGCTAAGTAGATAAGGCACCTGGATATCATCAGATTTGACAATAGCACCAGCATGTTTCCTTAAGAGTTTTCAACAAGCCACCGAACTAGACAAATAAAACTAAATCTTGAATGTTACAAGAGGGAGCAGTGTTCTATGGATCATACACCACTTGAAGCAAGCAATAAAATTGTGTTCTTTCTTTTTTACTATTAGTGTTTAAATGCCGACATATACAAGTTTTTCTTGATACGCCCAGTTGCATTACACAAGCAAAATTTTACAAGGAGCCGCTCTGTACAAACAAAATTTCACTCATGCCAAGCCATCAATGCTGCTCACCCTTCCCAGCATGCTACAATGCCGTTTGTGCCCATTGGGATGGTGCTAGCATTTTTTTTTATTATTATGGAATTCAAAGTGAAGTAGCCGACTAACCTGGTGTGAAGGCGCACTTAGCCATAAATAATTAATGTGCAAACACTAACCTGGTGTGAAGGCGCACTTAGCCATAAATAATTAATGTGCAAACACATCTCCTAGCGTTTGTTTCCAATATTCCATTTTAACATGCAATACCATCACCTGGCAGCAACAAGAGAGAATTAGGGAAGTGCTACTAAATTCAGAAAGGGCTTCCCGCTTTGCAGAACTTTATAAAAGACAATTCCCATAAAGACAATTCCCGCTCGCACAAAACGAACTGTGTTAAAAGGAATGATTATAGAAGCGCTCGAAGTGGTTCACTGTAAGCCTGCAAGATGCACTATGACCACTCTCGTGCTCTACTGCTGCACGAGTCTCTCACTGCTTACCGAAACCTAAGATGCAACTGTCGCAGGCAATGTCTTCATCAACTTGAAGTTAAAATGTATTGTTCCTTTTTTTTTTCAGCTCAATAACTCGTGAAAGTGAACAGATAAGTACAAGATGAAGTCCAATTAGTTCAGACAGTTTGGGGAGCCCTCAAAAGCCTCATGAAAAATCCCTGGGTTCTACGGAACCTAATAAAAGAGTCGATGCATCGAAAAGCAAACCTCTGCAAGATTACTTCCTTAAAACCCGTTCCCTTTGCTAGGATGAAGCAAGTGCTTTTAAATGGGCAAGTTAGCAGGCGATTCTTGAAACATTTAACTGTTTCCACCCACCAAAAATATTGGGAGGCCAGTGATAACTTGAAGACATTATGCTTGCTGCTTGGAGTTAAGGGGGGACGTGCCTTTCGGAACGAACTTTCTTGTTTCTGGTTAGATCTTGATGAAAATTGGCACAGAGACTAAAAATGACCTCATAATGCTTCCATAAAATTTCAAGATGATATCATGAAAACTTTCTGAGAAACAAATAATTTCATTACTGGACCTCGTGGAGCGGCTGGAGAGCTTAAGAAATGACATAGAAAGTTGGTAAACACTGTGTGCAGAGGTGAATGTATGCTCTTGGGGGTTGCGTTTTCAAAATAATTTTTTTGCAACACTAAAATTTGTAGTTCATGTTTTCTCCACTGATACTTCAATGAGCACATTTGCACTACAAACAAGAAACCCTACCAAAAATTTTTAAAAAGCTAAATTTTAAAAATAAAAACGCAGCCCCCTGAAGCACAGTTCAAGGAGCATTACAAAAAAAAAAAACAGAATCAAAATCTGTCAAGTAGTTGCGAAGATATCTGCTCCACGAGCTAAGCAACATGCCAAAAAAACAGTAATGAGAAAACGAGGTTCAAAGTCTTGAGTCACGGTTTACACGCCTAATAGGCACCAGGGTTGTAGTCCTTAGTGTCCTTTGCAGTGCGGCGTTGCTTGGCCATCTGACCTTTAGCCTGATGAGCTTTCGCAGCCTTTTTCTTCCGCATGGCATCTTTTTCAGCTGCTCTACGAAGTGCAAGGCGTCCAGGTTGGAGACCAAGAGATGTGCAAAGTTGGGTGTAGGCATGGAGGTTCCCAGCATTATACCTACAGATTGCTTCACTGACAGCAGTTTCTGCGGCTATCAATGAAGCATGCTCTTCTTTGGGCAGAATTGACCAAATAATTGAGTGCAGGCTTTCGGCAGCATTTTGAGTTTTTTTGCCCTGGCACCGCGCAAGAAGCTGTGGGTCCGAAAGTCGCTGGTACACAGGCAGCAGGGCAGCGGCAACGTGTCGTCCCAGGTGGTACTTATGGGGTGGCTGCGGTTCACCTTTAGCTTCTGCAGCCCGGTGTCTGCACCAGCTATCAGGACCTGGTGGGCAAAGTTCGTGGTGTTGATCCTGGGCAGTCGAAGTGGTGTGGTAGAATGTAGCCATGACCGCTCGCTGCAAATCCCCCACTTCAGCATGCTGCCTAAGGGCTTGGCCATAATAGGCAGTCAGTTGCTTGATCAAATTTTGTGTAAGGCCACCTTTTCCGTCGATAGGTTGGTCTTTCTTGCTTTTTGTGACAATGGCTCGCAGGGCTGTGCCCATCCTCTTTTTAACATGATTGATACAATCTTCTTTCTTCAGGGGTATAAAACCGTAAGTCTGGTCCTGACACAGAGCTAAGAAAGTGCGGCTGTCGCCATCGCAAACGATGGTTGTAAAGCGCAGGTCACTTTTTTTTTAGTGAGCGCCGAAACAGTGTGAGGGCCGCTTCGACTTCCATTTGGCCGGAGTTTGCCTCTGCGTTTTTCTGGCAAGCATGTGCTTCCTTCCATTCACTGTAGCCGTCGTCGCCTTCTTTGGGGCCCACAGCACATCCATGACAGTAATTGGACAGGACAACACTGTCAAGCACTAATCCAGTGTAGAATTCAATGACCGTGCCCACGCCGATGTGGGACGCGTGGCCGCGTGTCATCCACGTCCCATCGTACACCACCGTGACATTCTTGGTGGGTGTTCTCTCCATTTGGCAGTACACATTGCGAACGGCTGCAACAGCGTCGCAAAACACACGTGCCGCGGCTGCTGCGCCAGCAGGCCGAAATTCCCCCTTGCGATGCCTTTGAAACGTCTTGTGGTGAATTCCCCTATGTGATACATTCATCACAGACCAAAAATCACTGAGTGCAGCTGATCCCTTTCCAATAGTTTTTATAGCTTGCATGGCCCGAATATTTACTTCAAATGACTTGCTGTTTTCCATTCGCGGGGACGACCACGCATTTTTCGCGTCCGCGTCGCAAGCAGTGCAGGTGAGCACCATCTTTACCGCTAACCCGTGCTTAGTTCCGTGCTTCATCTTGAGTCCCGGTTCTTTGCACTGCGGGCACAGGGCACTGCCAAACAGACCATTCAGGGCTGCGCGTTGCACGAGG